TGCTGCCCCCTTTACGCTAGTAGGTATCACCCATTTTCAATCAGGTTTTGGCCTAGATACCTCATAGGGAATATTATGGGCCTTATGAAAAAGCCGACGCACGACCCCCAAAGTGAAAAGATGAGTCAGGGCAGCGAAGTTGATTACAATGGCGAAGGAAAACGACGGATGGAGTAAATCCGTCGCCCAATGAGAACGGAAAATATGTTGCGATGACATCGGAAACAGCAGCAATGACATCGACCAAAGTGATTTCGATAATATTACCATTTTGGAATAGAAAAGCCTAACCCAATGTTACTATTAGTTTCTTTACATAGACCAGCTTGGATCAGTATGAATGGAGCACTTCCATTACAGTAACTGTTGCCTAAGTGCATTTCTGATAAAGAGAGTTATTAACCAGGCTCTAGCCAGGCTTAAGTTGTCCCTGGGAAAGGATGTCGAAAGTACGGATGAAATCAAAAGTTCCCATTACGAGAAATTATATCAAGTAGGTCGGTATCTTCTTTCAGGTCACCGAAAAATTCCAACATTACTAAATATATTATGCATGCTTCACATGTTGTAGTTACTCTAGACCATAAAGTCCTCATAAAAGAAAAATCTCTCAGACTCTAACTCTAACATTAATTTTGCCAAGAGGCTAGCAAGAAAAATTCCCGAGTTAATTCTTCATTCACAGCTAAAGGATTGTGATTATAATACAATCATCTAAGCCACTTAACAAGAATGGAAATCTTGTTCGCCCAAAAAGTGGTATTAGTTAATAGCTATAATGCATGAAAGTGATATGCAGAATAGATTTGGGCTGAACCTAATTGCTTTAGGAATAGAAGTAGCTGATGAAGCTAAATAATCAGGTTAGGTTATCTTTCTCTTTCTTCCTCTTAAACGCTTCAGCAATCCCTACTCAACACGAGAAAAAGAGGCCACGAAATGGGAGGAACATATTATTCGTAAGGTACGAGGATATCGGTGATTAGATAAGGGTAACTAAAGGTTACTTAAAGGATTCTAGTTGATTTATTCCAAAAATGAAATAGAAAACATCTTCGGAGGAAAGGCCAAGTACAATTCAAAGACAGCTTAAGGTCTGCACAAATCATTGTGGGAATAACATCCATTGATAGTCCTTCAATTACCTTAAGCAACTCAGGTTGATTATGTTCCCATGTAATTTATGGCCTAGATTGGAACTGCAATACTGCACCAAACTCTAAGCCTGGAAACAAATATCGGTCTCATCCTTAGGTTGCTAGTCATGCTTCAACAGCACACGAGTCAAGCCATGGTTAAAATAAACCAAACTAAAAAGTGGGCTCACCTGAAGCACCTCAACAACAGGGAGAGGTTGACACGTCCGTCTGAACTGTGTTGCCTGCACTGCCAGAAAGGAAACAGCACAGACGAGCAGCTCTCCCAAGCTCATCATCCCAGTCTGACGAAGTCGGAGGCTAGAACCACGAACGGAAGCGTCACGAAGCAAGTCGGAAACAGCGGCCAGGCAGATAGCCAATAAGTTCGGTGATCGAGCGGCGGCAACATATGCCCTGCCAACTGGCCCATTGAGGAAGGAATTGGAGTCTGCAGATCATTCCACGAGTTTGGTGTGATGATGCAAGATGGATGTGGGTGAAGAAAAAATGGATTGAATGCAGGCCAAAGGTGTTATTGAAACGTTTTATGTTTGATTCGTCTTCCTTTACAATCGTGGAATGTTTTGCTTTGTATGAACATACATTTCTTCGGATTAAATAGACGATGCAAGTAGAAAATATCAGTGTTATGGCGAATTTCGCGTGAAAGTGCCTGATCAAGAGGTTGCTGGATTGGCCTCACTAAAAGCACAAGGCCATTCCCTGTTA